TATCTCGGCGACATCACAATTGGAACACCTCCGCAACCATTCATGGTTTGTTTGAATAGTAAACAAATACAATTGTTTATCACAGCTCATGGACAGTGTTTGCGCTAAGAGCACCGTAGGTAGCCCTACTGGGCGGACACAGCACTTTGAAGTCGTAGGGTGCAGCACTTTAGAAGGCTGATCCTGCGCACACCAGGCTAGATATGGGGCGGCGAAACGTCCTCGTCGTCGTGGATTGAAGGACTTACAGACCTGTCCATTACAATCACTCCAATAGCAACGAATCTTCGTTGAACACCGCGGCAGACTATGCGGCGTAACCGTAGTCGGGGGGGGGGACGGATCACTCTGTAGCCGTAGTAGGAGTGCAGCTCGGTTTTCGTTGTAGACCATGAGCGCCCTTGAGAGTGATAGTACATTTCTAATCGGTTTAGGTTGTCCTAGATACTGGTAGCTCGAATCTGTGGATTCCAGACGAAACATGCTTCTTCCCAGCTGGAGTTTGCAACCAGCCGAAGTGTGCTGCTGGATGTAAGTTTTGAAAGAAAAATTGTAAAAAAGAGCCAAGTGTTGACAACACGATAAAATTTTCTTTTTGTCATATTTTCAGTAGCTTCTTGAGTGCCCGTCGGTCATGTGAGTGGAGCCAGGGTTATGTGACTGCTTGAACTTTTAAGGATGGCCCCGCTGCGAAACCCTGTAATGCAGACAGATAGATGTCGGAACCATCGAAATGCGCTATAAGTCTTGTTGCTAGCACGGGGATAAATTGTTTCATGGAATACTGGCGTGAGTGGAGCACTAGTTAGATCTGAAAGTTGGCTTGTTGAAGTCACAATGACCGTATGTTGTTATACAGACGAGAGAGAGCAGGGAAGAGCAGGAAATCGGAATGTGTAGCGATGGGTGGTCAAAGTGATGGTTTAGTAAGGATGTGACTTGACCGTTCACTGCGTTTGAAGAAGTGATCTTTATCCTATGTGAATCAGAGAGAACCAACCTTTCCTCGAATACTTTCCACAAAATATAGTCGTCGAGTCGTCGCCGATGTCGCAAGACGAGGTAACGAATAGCGACCAACAAAGAAGCAAAGAACGAGAACTTTGGGGTAAATAGAGAAAAACACAACGCGAATCTACAAAGCTTCTCTCGTAGGCAATAACCAAATGAGTAAGATGAATGACTTTAACCTGAGGAGAGCTCTGATAGTGATCGATAGTAACAGTAACAAGGTTAGCGGGGTGTGCAAGCCACTAACCCTCGATAAAGCGATGAATCTCATGGCGATTATTCCTCTCGTTAAGAAGCCAATATCAGAAAAAAAACATCATAGCGAATAAACAGGACCGATGGCCATAGGCACTAGTACTGATATAACGAATAAGTTGTAACTACGGATGACGGTATGTAACTACGGATGACGGTAGGAGGTAGCCTAATGCCGCAAAAGTTGCTGGTGGAGGACTGTCTAATGTAAGTATGGCTGTTAGCCTGTGTAGCTGAAGCCAGAGTGGAGGCATCAATGGATTGCGAAAGGGTGGAGGTCGAGACCCGGGCATTTTGTTTTTGCACGGGGTACTGCGGCAACGACTGTGTCGTGTGTTGATCTACCGATCGGTGGCGCACTGTTTAGTGCTACACAACGTGATCGAAGGAATGAGGTTCGACTAGTTTATGGGTTGTGGAACCAGGCTCAATTTCCTGCACTATACATTGGTGCACCTCTACTTTCACTATTTTCAGAAGTAAGAAGCGCATTAAAGATTCTACTGACAAATTGGGAATCCTTGCGCGCGTCAGTACTCCGGTAAGGCATTGTTCACAGTCTGCGACCCTGACGAAACGGCGCTTGAGAGGAAAGCAAAAAATAGTCATCGATCGGAGAATCGCAACGCTATTTCGTCGAACCGCCGCGGTTCGGCGGTTGTTGGGCGAAAAGCAATAAATGCGTATCGATTTCGCTGTCGAAAAACGCCAGGGCGATCGAGTACCGTTTCATTGAAGGCGAAAACAGTTGCTAGGCGAAACACTCGTGATACGTATCAAAAACCTGATTCGCTCCAATTCCGCGCAGACTCTCGCCCAATCCGCCAGTCGATACGTATCAAAAGTTTTTCGGTCGAACCGCTGCGTTCCAGAGAAACGCTGTTCGCAGACTGTGAACAATGCCTAAGGGGCGTATACATGGATCGTTTCACTAATCAAGTTGCTGCCTATCCCAGGGGGGGGGAAAAAGCTGGAAAGTAGGAGAAAAGTGCAACTTGGCTCTTTTCTAACAGTCTGCAAAATCAGAGTGGACTGTGGCTTTTACTATGATATTGTCAACGGTGATTTCAGTGATTTGCAAGGTGTTTTGTCCAGAAGAGCAATGCTGCCAAAGAAAAATAACGAGCGATGGCAAATTCAATCCTTGCAAAAGAAAAAAACTACTTCAGTTCAACAAAATCCACCACCTACGCTGAAACTCGTACCTGAAAATTCAGTATTCAGTGAGTCCGTTGATTTGTTTTTGTTTTTTCACATGTTGTATTACGTATAGTATTATTCGCGTAAATCTTTTTCATGTAGGAGAGTTACCATGTTTTCCGTCAGTTTTAGACAGCGAGCTTTTGGGCCTTGTCATGAATTCTCCCCAGTATTAAACGATAATCAAAATTGTCGCCAACACTTGTTTTGTTAGTAGACAGCGGTTGATTTTGATTTAATAATAGAAATTTTTTTCTCAATAATCTGTGAGGAATCATGAATTAATTGATAATAAGGCGCTGATGAAAGTCTAGCCGGAATCGTACCTATAACAGCTTAGGCAACAAAAAAGCACGTTTCAACTCAAGAATGCATTTCAGTTAAAGAACTACTAGCAAAGTTCACATGAGGGAAACAGGCAACAGAACAGCACAATCACATCCTTCCGCCTAGCTGACAGCCGATGACAGCTCACCATATGAAGAGTTGATGCCCCTTCCGGAAGGACTAACTCGGCCGTATCTCACAGCCTTGTTCGCAGCGGATGATGGGCGTGTCTGTGAGGATAGGTCAGGCCTCACCAACCCGTCCTCCGCTAATTGTCGAAGCGGGTAAGCGACAACAATTAGTGGAAAACGACTCATACAAACGAGTCTACACGGTCTTGTCGCTTGAAGAAAAAAAGATAAAAAACGGGCTATGCTGCGTCCCTCTACGCTCCATCATCCCAAACCAACAAGAGATAACAAACAAATAAAAACATTCTCGAGGGTATCTGGCTTAAGGCGGAGAGGGGCAATTGTGGCACTTTTGCTAATTCTCATTGACGTGTCAACCCACTAGCCTTACCTTTTCTTGTGTTGACTAAGGTTTCAAACTGGTGCTTCGCGGAGTATTATCTCTAGCTTCAAAAGCTTCACAGGTATAAGAGCTAAAAGCCTCGCTAAACCGGAACCAGTGAAGCTACGGAAAGTGGAAAATGCCCCCTCCCTCCATTACCTGTTTATTAATTGCTTATTTCTAATGTTTTCTGGAATACGTCGAGGATGAGCATATGTACATTTCAGGATACATTTCAAGAGTAAGAGCGTTTCATAAAAATCTCGGCCAGCAGAATAATGAAAAAGCTTTCAATCGCTTTCAATTAATTTTTGATTGGTTACTGGCAGACTTGGCCGGTTCTTATTACCCAGCAACAGCTTGAAATCGAAATTTTCAAAAAGGATATCAATTTCATTCTTCCAGTATGGTACCGGTTCCGCACAAGGGTTCCTTGGTAACGATACCGTGCGACTTGGTGGGCTTGAAGAAAGTAATGTCTTGAGCATACCTGCTTACAGTGTTTGAGGGCCAAGCGGAATCAATCCGCAAAGAATTTTTGCTGATGTAAGTGTTCGCAATCAATTATTTTTATGTATTCCCAGCATTAACGGCGGTTCGCAGACAACTTTTTGCAAGGAAGTGTAATAAATTATTTTGAGCCCACACGTCAATTACTTCACAAAATGGAACCTTTTCTTGAACAGTCTTGTTCGTTGCGGGCGCTGAGGCATCCTAGAGAATTGGGTTTGGGCGCGGCGCACCATTCTGCTCCCCACCATCCGTGGGAACTGGAGGGCGACCACAATAGGTGTGGAAACGGCCTGGCGCCGCACTAAACTGAGCCCTACCCCTCCACCGATGTCCGCAGCCTCAGGCTTATAAATGTGCTCCTGGTCCTGAGTCTGCAGAACAAGATGATTCGCCTGAAAGTGCAATGCATGCCTGGCGTATCGCCAGTCTTCCTGTTTCTGGCATGCTTTGTCTCTAGTCCTGCTCTTCGCAACTATCAGTGCTTAGTGGCCTCTCTTTTCGTAATATTCTTATTAGGGCTGACTGCCAAAAATTGAAAGCCTTTTTCAGAGTACAAAGGACCAAGTATTCGCTGCTGTCGCCCTTTTTGGGATATTCGCCCCGTTCCGGAGGGCACATGGCTTATTTGGCCTAAGGCGCGGTTTGCGGAAGCCGGGGTTTGAACAATAGACCTGCGCGCGCGTCCTGTCGCGAGCACTCTAAATTTTTGGCCCACTCACCAAACTTCTCACTTGTCAACCCACCTATTAAGTCATCGTAAAAGCCATACCCACGATGAATGGACTGCGTGCATGTGCCTATAAGGACCGATGCCGTGCCTGTAAGGGTTAGCTCTAGCAGGATCCATTCGTTCGGATGCTGTACCCTAAGTCATTGAAAAAATTTCAGAGAAAATTCCAATCGATGCATCCTCGGACTGGGATTTCAGACAACTTGCCGTGAATAATGTGAATCCTCCTTTCCAACGTGCGGCAGATCTGGGTTTAGTGGAACCGGTATTCACCGTCTACATGCAGCGTTTAGGAGGTAAAATTGTGAAAGAGGGGTTTTCGGTACTAATAAACTACGGGCATATTTGAGGGTTTCTTGTGCAGAACTGGGTTAACATTACCCAGATAATTATCGTTTTGGAGTTGTTTTAGCCATCTTGAGCTCCATGCGGTTTAAGCTTAGACAAACAAAATCCTTGACCTCCAATACGGGAACTCTAATTTTGCACCAGAAATCCTTCAATTGAGAGCTTGTTAGCCCAAAAATTTTCGCAGGTAATGAAACAGCGCAATTATGTCTCATCATCTTAGATTTGGCTACGGGTGAGTACGGAGGAGTTTATACCTATGGTGGTCTCGATAAGGAAAACTGTGGTGATGTGATTGCGTACGAAAATCTCACCTCGGCCACATATTGGCAGTTCCGAGTAAGCGGAGAAGTTGAATTTATGGCGCAGTCCGGCTGGGAGGGGGGGAAGGCATGTTGCACTGCCCCCCTTTGCGTGTCGGCCAATCGAGTAAGAGATCTGTGAAATACTGCAAAGCCATGAAGTGAACCAGTCAAAGTTTGAGGAACTACCTGTCAACTCCTGTAAAGCAGTGAACAGGGCGATGGAAAAGTAGCGAAAGTGCAAAATGCCGCACCTTCCCCCCCCCCCCTTCCGCCTACCGCCCAGGCCGAACTGCTCCGAATCGACTGCTGATCGGCCAGATCAAAGTGATCGTTCGATGTTTCAGATAAAGGGATTTAGAGCAGGAGATTTGCAAATTAATAGACGTTGGGAAGTGATTTCTGACACTGGCACTTCTTTTAATGGCGTGCCAACAGCGATCGCTGACAAGGTTGCTGACTCCTTCGAAGCTGAGGCAAGTTTGTTAGCTTTTTCCGAGAGATTCCTTTTTCTTTAGTTGTTGAAGATGACAACGGGCAAAGCACCTTGAGTGGCCATTCCCCTTACAGTAGTGGCGGAGACATACGAAACGGCCTGCGATTTGCCTTATCCCGCTTGGAGCACCCTTGTCTTCACCAACACCGTCTTGGAGGAGAGGGAGGGGCGTTTCAATTAAGACTCATCGCATTGTGGGATTTTCTGCTGAATAGGCTCACTCCCATTTCCCACTTTGGTGCGGCCCTCCTTTTAAATCTTCGTACAATCTTGCCGAATTTCCCAAAAATTTAATATTTTGAAAATATCGCTGTCGGGGGTGGAGTGGTTGGAAGTGGACACTTGCCAACAGGGCATCCATAGCCAATAGAAACTGAAAAGATCGAAAAGGGATTCTATGCGGAAGCTAATGCCGTTGCGATCCGATGGGGAGGTGCCAGAGGGCGTGGAATGAGCTTACCCGCGGCTTCGTTTTCTACCAAAAGTGACCAGTTCGGGTGGAAAACAACTTGTAGTTGAAGGCCCTGCGGGTGGGCTCTCTCCACGCTTCCTCACACTGCTCCGCCGGCTCACTGCGACATCAGCTGCATATGCTTTACCCAGGGATTATGTGCCCTGATTTCATTGGAAGAAAGTGTGGCTATTATCTTTCTCCGCCCATGAGATCGATGTGGATTGCGTTTATAGACAGATCTGTTTCCAGTACGATGTGTTCAATCAAGTCTTCATCATCGACTGCAACTCGACGACGACATTGACCCTGCTTATTGGAGACAAGGAGTATACGATTGAATCGGAAAATCTCATTGCAAATATCGGGAATAACCAGTGCATAATGACAATGTTCCCGATGGATATGGGCAGTTTCGGGCCACAATGGATCCTCGGCGATCCGTTTATCCGTCAAGTTCTGCAATATCCATGATGTTGGTAATAAAAGAATCGGCTTTGCTAAGCCTCTTCATAAATAATCCAGTTATGCCTATTTTGCATAGAATTTTGTAGAATAAATTTGAATTCAGAAATGTAGATGTTTTGCTGTTTTTTGCGGCAATAGATCCAATTTATGGATACAAGTTGTTTGCTTATCAACCAATAGGACTAGTCCTTGAACTTTGCTGCAATTTCCTTCTGGGGCGCTATCATATGCATACTTACTAGGGGGATAAAACCCACTGACGTGTACTCAAGGCAGGATCGACGCTTAATATTACAGACCGCAAACGATTGCTCTTCCTTCAACTGCACTTGAGGATGGAAACCGTTTAGGCTCCGTTCATACTTTGCAGCAGCGACCACCAGCGTCCACCAGCGACCATCAGCGATCGTCCTTCAGCGACTAGAAAAGTGTAGAGATCAATCTAACGAACAGCAGCGTCTACCAGCGACTATCAGCGTGTACCAACGAACAGGAGTACGGTATCGTATTGTAGTACGGAGTTGCAGACGCTACATTTCACAACACCTAATCCAGCTTCTGCTCCCTCCTACTTTCCCATACCCTACCAACAGTCTACTACCCTGCTACTTCCCATACTTTCAACTCTGGTCGCTGGTGGGCGCTAGTAGAGGCTAGTGGCCTCTACTTCTTGGTCCCTCGAGACCCTGATTGTCGCTGGCGGACGCTGGTAGACGCTGGTATACGCTGCTGTTCGCTAGATCGATATCTATACTTCCTAGTCGCTGACGCTGACGGACGCTCGAAACGCTGATGACGCTGGTGGACGCTGGTGGCACGATGCCGCAAACTATGAACGCGAATTTATTGGCTGGCTGACGTTCCCGTGAGTTTGTCTTCTTGGGAGTCCGAAAGGATGGAAATCGATTCATGAACTATCCAACCAAATGTCTCACTCCCGCACAGAAACCTTCGACCCAACCTAGTGGATGCCTTACCTGATCCACTAGGTTATGGACGGTCATCATAGGCAATATCGCGCGAACAACTTTGAAGTCGAAACTCAGGTGGGTTTTTAGACTTTTTCGAGAAGGTCCACTTTTCGCAGAGTTTTAAAAAATTTCACATAAAGAAATAGTTCAAATGCACACTCCACGTCAACGAAGTGGGCGGAGACATACCGGAGGCAGCCTGCGATTGGGCCCGCACCGATTGCGCCTTTCTTTTCGCTGTCCTAAGAAGTGACCTTGGAGTGGGCCACAACTGCAAGCTTTTTCAGTGTTTTTGCCTTTGCTTTTTATTCTTTCTCTTCACAATGGTGCCTCACCCTGGAAGTCCTGTTAACCCTACTAAGAACCCTGTAAACTGCTGTCGAGCTTGGCGAAATGGTACTAGCGTCATCGAAACGCCATCCTTTCTTTTTTTTCCGGATCTTTAGTTATTTTGACATGTTTGACAGGAGTTTACACTGTTTGATAGGTGATGACAAGGCTTAGAGGGTGTTGATAAGGTTGTCCGGTATTCACATGTATACAGTTCATAAGGATTTGGTGCGCTGACGAGCGCCCACAGGTGCCCCCCCCCTTATCAGCACCGAAAGATTTTCATACGAATTTCAACAATTACCGTCTTTGACTTGTCAACAGGTAACAAAGTGGCGGCACTCTTAGGGCAAGACCTAGTGCCATGTCTTTGTTGGAAATTTTACAGCGGAGGACTCTGGAGACTTGCGAGTTAAGGCGAAATGGTCGAAAGAAGATGTGGCTTAAATGATGACTCCCTCAGCTCGGAAAATGGAATATTTATGCTGAAGTACTGTGTGTTACAAAATGTTTGGAATGTCCCAACTATTGCGGAAGCTGTGCCTAAAACGCAGATGGTCCATTACTATCGCTTAAATGCCTTGGTAATGAACTGTCTTCATATTGGTGTCACAAAGCTTTTTTGCCTAAGTAGAGGGACGTGTCGATTCGGGGCAGCCCATAGGATTCTACTGATAAAGGGTTACAACGACTTCTTCTGACGTGGCCATGCACTTTCTGCTCACTTCTTCGATTGTTGTCGTTCAACTGCAATGTGCCACTTCTGCCTTGATTTGTTTTGTCTCCCTTCAGATTTTTCTTTCGCTGATGAAGAACTCTAGCGCTGTTCTGCTAAGCAAGGGGGGCAT